TTATTAGAAAAAATATGAAGTCCTTTGTACACAATATATGTATTATATTTTCATTAGTTTTATGAACGAAAAGACTCGTTTTCACACTAGAGATGAGGCTTAAGTGGATTCACTTCTGGCTTTTTGGAGGAGAACGCTGTTCTGGCTGCTCCGAGCCAGGTGCTGGTTGTGCAGCCAGATCTGCCAGTGCAGATGAAGGACAGAGCTGTTCTGCACCTTGCTTTGTCCTCACAGATCTGACCAGGACAGGTGTGATGGGGTCCAGACATTAAACATATGGCTGATAAGCGTCACAAACTCAAACCACTTTGATGTGCACAATATAGAAAAGGGACAAAACTTCAACTATTTACCTGCCCCCTCTCATGTCCCACAGACTTTGGTGGTTTGGATGAAACACAACAGTCCTTTGGGCACGTTTCATCCTTGGTTTTGAAGAATAAATGAAACGCTTCTCGGCTGAGCTGGGCTTGCACTGTATAATTACTGATCATGTGAAGCTTGAGATTTTCATAGTGGATTGCTTGGATGTTGGCTGACATTGATAGGAGAGGTAGGGAATATTTTCATTGAGAAAATAGCTGAGTGGCAAATATGACCTGCAACAGCTATTGAAGTAAAAATACATCTGATAGTGCTATTAGTGCACAGAACTTCCCAGGAGATAAGTTTCACACTTTGATTCTCTACAGAAGGTGAGTACAGCAGTTTTATGGAAATAGAACAGAGTTAATTTGCCTAGTATTTCATTTGAATATGGAAATACTACATAAAATTATGAGGCTGATAAAAAGCAGTGAAAACAGTCCTGCAAGAGTCCAAAGAGTGTATGTATATTGGGCCAACAGAAGATACAAAATCAATACAGGTTTTGTAGGTTTTTCTATTCACTTTGGATGTGGATTTGTTTATCGTACAGGTTAATTATCTTAGATATGTATATTTGTATGTATGTGTGTTTACATACATAGAAACATCTTTATAACAAGAAACAAGGTTGTGGAAGAATAGTTAAAAAGTGCATCCACACTGGCCAGCTAATCAAAAAACTGGCCCTGAATTCACTGAAATGAATGTGTGCTACTGGGTCCATCTACTCTACATGGACTACAAGATGACCTTGAACAGAATTTCTGGAGCTGAAAGAATCGGTGCTGTGCATCTGCATGAGCCTTTGCTAAGCACTAGGTGGACCAAGCACAGTCTAATTTACAATAAACTCTTTTCATGCTTTTAAACATTCTGCTTATTTTAATGATACACATCTAATTCCCAAGCTGCGTGTATTAACTTAATGATACTTATTCAACATCCTTGCTCAGAAGCAGGGGAAAGCATTTCCCCTTGAATGTCAGTGGTGGTGTACCTGACTGGTCTGCATGCATGGGCTCCTCCAGCCAAGAATGTACAATTCATGTCTGAGAAAGGCAGAACCCATGTTTTCATATTGAGGAGTTCTTGCAGAGTGAAGAGGACCCCCTGTACTTTTAAATGATGCACGAAACTTAGAAGTGGTGACATTTCTATCAAAACATTGGTATAGACAGGATATCTTTCAAAGACCTAATCTGAAAGGATTTAAGAGAAATTCCTCGTATCAAAAGCTCCCATCATATTTTTCAGTGCGTGTATTGTCTGACAGTCTCTCTGGTTAGTAACACCTACAGCTCATGCACAGAAGTGCTAACACCAAGAATTATTTTGAGGATATTTTCTAGCTGCAAACAGTTGCACTGCTTGATTCTTCTGATATTGATCACTAGTGCTAAGCTTTGGGGAAATATTTAAGAACAAGCTTCACTTCAGTGAAAGAGGTTTATTAGCTTATCATCTGGGACTTGCAGGGGCTGGTCCAGGCTCAGCTCTCCCTGAAGTGACTACACGGTGCAGCTGACAATTCACACGTGCCTTTCCACCTACCCACTGCCTGAGCAACACAGTGTGCCAGCACCAAACAGGGACCAGCCTGGTGATAAACTGCGGAAAGACTGAAAAAAGAACAAGGTCTTTATCTCTGGAAAAGCCACAGAATAAAGCTTTCCCTTGCTCTCCATTCTAAAAGCATTATTGTGGCTTCAGAAAGAAATAACTCTTATGAGAAGTCAGCGAATCTGGAAAAGATTAGAAATTGCAATGAAATAAGCACTGCTCTGACTGGTTTCTAACTGGCTGAAAATGACAGCAAAGGGGAAAAAAGGCATTAGTGGTTTTCTCTCACTTAAAGACTATAATTGAAATAAGTTTTGTAAGTCACATATTTGTCTTCTGTTGACTAAATAACTTAATTAATGCTTGAAAGCTATTAAAATAAGGCTTAATACCTTTAACAACACATTCTTTTAGTTAGAAAATCACATAATCTAGTATTTCTTACAATGATGAAGGACTTGTGTAATAGAAAAACAAATTATATTAGGACGAAAACGTTAAAAATTCAGTGCAGTATTTTTTTTCCTGTATTTGCCTTCCAAGGAATAAACAGACACTTCTGAATTGTAACATTTTCTTCTAAAATGCAGATGGTTACACTCTGCCTTCAGTTACACTTGGAGCATGTAGAATTCTACTTACAGGAAATAAAAAAATGGATTCAGCAATTTCTTCTTGTGAAATATAGGGAGGGAGAAACAGAATGGCATGGATAAAACAAAGGCAGAATTTTATGACTTAAAATGTGATGAAATCAGTGATCAGGACAGGTTGGAAAATAGTATAATCATTGTAGCTTTCTTTAACTGTCTGTGCCTAATAAAATTTCTTCTTTCCTCTCTGTTGTTGACCTCAAATGAGAGCAGTATTCCTGTTCAGAAAACATGCCCTTAACGTGTTCAACGTGTCCATCCAAAGTACCACTGGTATAAAAAATACAGCAAAAAAGTCACCAACCCTTTTACATCCACTGCTTGGTTTGAGGCTTTTTGAGGAAAAATAGCACGTCTCTTTCACTCTGGATCTGAGTTAGAGAAGCCTCAGATGTAAGAGATACTTAGAATTCATGGAGTTGAATTTTTCTCCAACTGCAAACCAAAACGTATGAATAATGCTGTTATTTGGAAGGCTGGTATAAAACTGGAAGAATTCCACAAAGATTTGGTAACTGAGGAATTCTGCCTCCTGTGTTCCTGTGACTGAATTCAGTTTAGCTATGTACATTCACAACAACAAAATTACATGGATTATTTTTTTTTCCCCTCGGAGGGAGATTTTTGACAACATTACACAAGCTTTTAAGATGAAAACTTTATGCTATGATGGGCAACCTGATCCAACATCAAAATTATCCATGCTATGAGCAGGGAGTTGGACCTTCTGAGGTCCCTTCCAGCCTAAATTGCTCTGTTCTGTAATTCTGTGATTATTTAAGTGGGGCTCAATTAATGAGTGAGACAGTCGAAGACTCCAGAATAAATTAATATTCCTGATGTTGTTCCTTGATAAAAAGTTACATCAATTTGCCTTTAAGAAAATAAATCTACATGTTCAGTATGAATTACACTGAAGATGTAATGATATAAAATACAATAGTTTAGTACTGCTTTAGTTAGAAACACCAAGAAAGTGATACAAGTACTAAAAATAACTATCTCTGATAACACAATATGAAAAGAGCATCCATATGGGTCAAACCAAAGACCATTCACTTCAAATCCCGGTGGTGTGGATGCCTTGGAAAGAGTGTAAGAACAGACAAGATGTCCCATCCCTATCTCTGGGTCTCCACTGTTGCCAGAGAAGGGCCAGAGGGAGAAAGCAGGCTGAGTGCTGAGCATGGAGGTACATTTTAATGCTATTTTCAAGACTGAAGTAGGAGGTACAAATGTTATGTTTTTTAATTAAAATAATTTCAATTGATTTGCTGTAACTAACAATTTGCTTTTAAGCCTTACTCTGCAGACATACATACATACTCAAGAAAACACTGGGCATCTGAGCAGTCCTTTAGCAAGGAAAAGCCACTAGACAGGTGCACAAAAACTACACAGGGACATGAAGTTAGTCTAGATATTTGCCAGGTCAGGGAATACAGCTGTGTACATCAGTAAACTAGAGCAATTTCAACAGAGGCAGTGAGATGGTTTTGAGCTGGATCACTGAGGATGCAGGGCTTGCTCAGCCTGATGAAAGCAGACTTTGGGGGACCTGGCAGGGCCCTCCAGTATCTATGATGAGGTCATCAAGATGGCAAGTTTGGACTCTTCATAGTGGCACATGGTGGAAAACAACAATATAAATGTCAAAAAGAGAGGTTCAGGCTAGGTGTAAAAAAAATGTTCTTTCCTCAGCAGCCAGCAAGCATGAGAACAGGCTGTCCACCGAAGCTGGACATCCTTGGATGGAAGTCTCCATCCTTGGAGGTTTTCAAGAGTAGGCTGGGTAAAACCCTGAACAACTGCATTTGGCCTCATCAATCACCTCACTTGGAGCAGGAGATTGGACAAGGTTCTCCTGAGGTTCATTCTAAGCTGAATTATCCTACAGTCTTATGACTCTCACTTCACAGTTTTCAAACCACCTATGGCATGTTTTCTCTCTGGCCTGATCCTTTGATGTGGGAATTACTATAAAATAAATAGGTCAATCAGAATGTGATTCAGACTCCACTTGTTTTTTATGATAGTGTGCATGGTATAATCTTTTTATCATTCACATCTAGTTTTCCTATACAATAGTATGAGATGTCACATGGTTTTTAACTAAAATCAGAGACAACCACCTATTTCAGAGTGAACTGGTGCAGTAAGTTGTTCTCAGATTTCACTTAAACTTTGTTTACCCAAGGTGGTTGTATCAAAGTCCAAGGAATGACACAAGCAGGAACAAAAGTGAAGGCGGACACACCCTTTGTGGACTTTGCTTTTCCAGTAATACTTTTCCTTAGCTGACACACTTCTGCTGTGCGAGCAGATGGATCGTATTTGCTCTGATATATGAAGTTTTAGTGAAGCTGCATGTTAGCTCTTGTTTGAAAATGTAACATGGCTATTTTATAAACAAGACTAATATTTGTCATTGATTTTAATAACGTTGTATTCTGACAGGATTTGATTTACCCTCTGGAAAAACCCACGCTTGCAGTCATACTCTCGGCTCCTTTGCACCACCAGAAACTCAGTCACCGGTGTTTGTCAGCACCGAACTTTCTGTCTGGAGGCCGGCGTTGGCCAGCGCGGGAGGCGCGGGCACGGCCCCCGCTCCGTCCCCACCGCTCGCCCCCCGTGCCGCAGGGAGCGCTGCTGTTTGCGGGGCCGTTCCGTCGCTCCCCGCTCCCCCAGCATCGGGCACTGCCGTGGAATCGCTGGAGGAGGGGGCGATGCGAAGGGCTCCCCCCCAGGGCGGCAGCGCGTTCCCATGGTGACGGCGTCCTGGCAACCGCTCCCGCTCCCGCAGCCCGGCCTGCGGCGGCCGCCCCGCTCCCAGCCGCTCCCATCCCATCCATCCCATCCGCTCCGCGCAGGGGCCGTCAGGGCGGGCGGACGGAGCCCCGGCCGCGCACCGGCGGTCACGGCGCTCGGGAACTGCCGCTCCCGCGGCAGAGCGCGCCCGGAGCGGAGCGGGGCTCGGCTGGCGGCGGGGATGCGCGGGAGCGGTGGGCAGCCCTGCCCTGCCCTGAGCCAGCACCGGTGAGTGAGCGCAGAGACAGTCCCGGCTCTGTCCCCCCCGTGTTGCATGGCCATAGAGTGCTGTCTGCACCGCGATGTCCTGTCGGCTGTCGTACACCCCGTGTTCCCGCAACCTTCACCGCGCCCACCGGTGACCCCGCACCGCGGGGCCGGGACCCCCGGCGGGGCCGAGCCGCGGGCAGGGCAGGGCAGAGCCCCAGCAGGGTTCCGCCGCGATCCCCCCGCTCACGGCGTCTCGGCACGGGCCGGCAGCGGGGCCCATCGCAGCTATTTCTCCAGAGGGCCCCGGCCTGGCTCGGAGCCCCCCGGCTGGCTCGGAGCCCCGGGCACGGTCACGGCGCTGCCGGGGAGTCTCCCCGGCACCATCGCACGGCGCCCGTGCACGCGTGCCACAGCACCGGGGCTCGGCACGGCTCTGGCTCTGCCTGCCGCTGCCGGGGTCTGACCCATCCCCTTGCTGAGCACAGGGACTTTCTCGCTTACTCCGAAGCGTTGCCCCGGCGCACTTCAGAGTAACACTGGGAAGGATCTGGCGGCTGCCGGGGTGGTGCCGTCACACGCTCCCTGAGCAGCAACCAAAGCGGTTTCTATTTTAAGGAAAAAAGAGTGATTAAAGTGTTTGCCTAGGCAGGTATTTCAGTCTGCTTTGATTCCCGTGTGACTTGTGGCAAGTCACATAGCCCGCCCCGTGCTTCACTTCCCTACCAGCAACAGAAGGAAATCATATTTTCAGGGATAATAATGCTTCCTACCTCGCAGGCATATTATGAGAATGAATGTGAAAAACACTCCGAAGTGCGCAGACATTACAGCGTTAGTTGTAGATTATCATGGAAGATGGGGAACAGAACGCTACAGGTATGATTATACTTCAAAACAGCAGAAATGGAGATCCCGCAGAAAATAAACGTGCAAGGCAGTCTGAGAAGTAGGGAAAGGATGCCACAGCACAAATAGCAAGGAGTGAACTGCACATTGCTAAAAGTGTCTCTTCATCATGTCCCATGGAGGATATTTTTTCCCAAGGTTTTCCACATCTTATGTCAGTGATTTAAAGAAACGCTAAGGAAGCACTCCAAATTTGTATGGAAATCCTGCCTTAAGTTTCAAGTGAACTGTTATTTTTGGCAATCAGGCATATTATTCACAAATAGGAAAAATCTTTTATCTTGTCCATGTGACAAGTATATTTGGAATATTCAGTAACTTAAATCAGTCAACCCAAATTTACTGGGTTAATATATCATGACTTAAATTGCTTATAGCAGTATCAAGCATGAAATAACCTCATTAAAAAAATAAACTAAGCACCTCTAACCAATATTTCACGTGGTATCTTACTAGACACCAGTTTACTACCATTGAAAGAGCCATGTGAAATTATACTCCTCTGAATCTAAGTATCAGAACATCTTATGGTTTCTGTTTACTAGTCTAAGTTGGTATTACACTCCTAGAGAAGGAATTTGTCTTAGTTCTGACACCTTTTTGTTTATTGCAAATATCTCCAAACTGCAGGAAAGTTTTGTACAACTGCCAATCAAGGTCTTAGATCCTTTCTGGCTCTTGGATCAGATCATTAAATCTGATATCTGATGATGAGATGCTTCACCGAGTACTGAGCAAAGAGAAATGAATGAGAAATTCATTTGTGTAACTTTTGTTTCATATCCACACTTACTCCAGATATTTGCATTTAGCTGCATTATTTATGGTAGACTGGCAGAGAGATCTAAGACTTCATGCAAACCTGTGCTTAGTTTGCTGAAAACATTATTTGCCAGCTGATAATAAATGGGTACCAAAGGCTGTGAGACTAAAGCACTGTTTGGCTGGTTTTTGTAAGGTGTATTTCACTAAATTTCACTCAGATGCTGCTAGATGTCCAGACTTTAATATTTGTTCTTTGCTTTTCTAGGTAACCTCCAGTGCTTTGCTGCTGCGGTGCACACAGCTCTTCCTAAATTAGTGGGATAATTCCTGTGTTTACAGCTAAATTGTGCTTAAAGCTTCAATGCATCAAGATTGTTAAAATGTGTTAAGGCACAGAGGTCTCAGGCCCACTGAAAACTGGGTGCCTGGTGGTGTGACCAGGAGGGACCTGTCGCAGAGTTCTGGCATTCCTTAAAAACCCAGCAACTGGGAAATGACGAGTGTGAGGAACAGACTGCAGAACTGGACATTCAGTGTCTGTGCAGGACTTTGAGTGCAGAAGTCACCACAATGAACCCCAGCTCTTATACTGTGCTTTTTACTTATAGCCATGTAAGAACCTAAACAAGGAGGTACGTATGGTTATCTCTCTTACACATAGGAAAACTGAGTCAGTACTCATGGAAATAACTTGACCAAAGTCAACAGAACCAGAGATTGAGCAAGGAATTCAATTCAGACCTTCTGAAATCCTGCCTGGTGTCACTGCTGCTCAGCAACCCAGCTTCTCTTAAAACTGTTTTTTCTCTAATTTGTAGTTTCCGAAGCACCATGCTATAAATAGAACACACACACTGTGACAATGTTTGCTCTCTGCTTTCAGGCAGTGCTTTCATACATTTCTAAAGCACAAACATGCTTTGCATTTTGAGATCTCAAAGGGTAGCCCTATTGCTTCTTCACTATCGATATTTGACTATTGTATTTCCATAACCCCATCTTTCTCAGATTGCACAGGAATTCATCACCAGTTGTAAGCTTCTTTTCATATATCAGCCTTTATTTTGCAGTGAGGATTTTAGGTTCCCAAGGAGATCAGGCTCAGGCCATACTACTTCTCTTTATACTTAAAAATGTTTATTTGTTTTATGTAGGGGAGCTTAGTTGGATTTGATTGAGGCTAATATAGTTTTCATTAATTTCTGTCAGCCGACAAAGCTGCTGAGCCAGGTACTAGTGTCACAGTTAGACATTAAAATATCTTTCTGAAGCTATTTAATAGACCTACTCTGCTGCAATGTCTGTCACAGTCTGGCTGGCTGTGTCTAAAAATTAAATCCAGAATTTATATTCTTACCATGGAATAATTTACTTACAACATTAAGTGTGGTCATTTAGATTTGAAGACAAACTAATATAAGACTCAATTTTGATAAACTATGCTGATGTCACACATTTTATTTAGGTTTCTGACTGCCAATGCTTTTATGAGAAAAACATCTTATCCCTAATCATCTGCTGTCATGAAACATTTGTATTTGACTCTCCAGTTGATATTTGCTTAAGTTTTATGATCATGCTGTCGATCTTACTTTATTATTCATTGATTAATGATGTCAGAGACCAGTAGAAGACTGGGGACAAGAACTTTGTTTACCTCTGCACTGCCAAGCCAGCTCAACAGCAGATTTTGTTTTCAAGGCTGTCAACTTCATCTTTTCAAGAGTATAATTTTCACTACAAAAAGCTTCTTAGCAGTTTTTAGTCTTCATTCTTTTGTATTAATTTTTATTTGCATTTATTGCTTTAGCAATACTTGAATGCCAAGATCACCAATGTCAGCATAATATTACACTTTACTTAAAGGTGCACTGAAAGCAAAAGCTTTTAGTAATTTCAGTATCAGATGTAAACTATGCAATAATTCAATTTGTACTTTTTCAACAGGCATAAATTACTGACAGAGAATGGCCCACCGAAGCCCAATCTTCCCAACTCTTGCCCCTTCTGAAAGGTACAGTCTGGAATAAAAAACCAAAAATCTTCATATTACAGAATATTATGTATCTCTTAATTCCCTGTATACAGTAATGCTGTGACCTGGCACTTTGGCATTAGTGTGCAAGGCAAAGTGAAATACCATAGACATTCACATCATAGCCCTAATCACAAGTCCTTACTCAGCTTTTACTTAGCCATTTCCCAAATAAATTAAATAGCTTAAATCTCACTGACTAGAAGTCCAAGAACACTTTAGCCAGTGTTTGAATATCAAGGAATGAGTTGTGAAAACACAGAGCCAAAAGTGACCTTTGTTGGAATCCTCATACATCTCTATTAATATCATCATGGTCAAATTAAATTGCTAATTTGGCTCATTAACTGGAAACAAATGAGAATGCACAGTAAATAACAGAGCTCCTAGAAAAAAGATCTCCTCTTCTGAAGTGGGGTTGAATTTGTGTCCTCCACTTATGCTTCTGAAGATGTTTTTATTCTTTACAGAACACAGTTGTAGGAAAAGGTGGCATGCATTACTAGCCTCATTTTATTTCTTTCAGTACCCATGAGCTCCACTGCTTTCCACAGGAGCTATGCAATGCGGAGCACGCTTCAAAAATCTAGATAATTATTCAAGGTACCCAAATGTAAATTATTTGGGAGAAAATTTAACTTCTAAGACTATGAGAAGCTTGTCATAATTTTGGTCTCACCTCAGTTTCTAAGCCCACACATATGCTCCTGTCCAGTTAACAGGGGAACAAAATTCTGTATCATATTACAGGGTAGCTATAGAGACAGAAAAGGGATTGACACAAACTATTCCTTTTTAATCCTGATCTGTTTTCATTTAATTTACAGTTCCTACCTTCAACTGTTACAGCTTTGATTAAGCCTGAAAACGAGACAAATAACATTACTTTTGAAACTCAGTAGAAGGGTTTGAATTTGGATTCTTAACCAAATTATAGTTCTGATTTGTAGCTACTTTTATTATGCTAATGTTCTTTCCTTGCTTTTGAAAGCTTCCTTAAAGAGCATGAAAAAATGCCTGACCTGCCTTTGTACAAGACACATGGTAGCCAACACAGCACCCGCTCATTTGTAGCAGTGGGCACTCTCTCTGGGAGTATTTTGGGGCTTGTCCCCAGCACTGCCAGCACTCAGATTAGTGTCACACCGTCTCCAGTGCAAAGGCATTGCAGAGTTTTGTGTGAGAACTTAATAGGATGTGGATTTCTTCCCCCCCAGACGGGTCCGAAACATCCCCCTGCACAGCCAGGCGCTGACAGCGGTCCCGCTGGCCTCTGCCAGCCTGGTGGATCAGCTGGAGGACAGAATCCTGAGCCATGAGAAAACAACGGCAGCCCTTGTGGAACATGCTTTTCGCATTAAGGAGGACATTGTTTCCACGCTGCACAGAATGCAGAACAAAGGGGGAGGTGACCGCTTGGCAAGGCAACTCCTGGAGGAGCACATCCGAAACATAACCGCGATAGTGAGGCAGCTCAATCGGGACATCGAGGTATGGCAGGAATGCTGCACAGCACTAATGCCATCCCAGCTACTTACTGCTTCTAATTCCCTAACAAAGTTCACCACAGGATAAGTAACGATCTGAAGATCCTGTAAGCTTATAAATTGTTTTTATAACTTGAAAAAGTGTTTGCAAATTACATCATTCTTTCGGTGGCTATGAAAATAGCACAGGATATTAGCATATAAACACAGAAGCCTTTGTGGTTCTAATAAGCTTGCTTTAAAAAGCTGCACTGGAAAATCTTGAAAAAATGAATTAATGCGACACTAATACCCAGCTCAACTTCAGTCCAAAGGCTGTGCTGTATAAACACTAGGAAATGCCTTCGCTCTATAATAAACTTTCTTTCCCTTCCGACTCACTGACGACACGAAGTAACCAAACCCAAGTGCTCATTTTTATGACCTAATCGTAGGCAGACACATGACTTCATGTCTGACCTCTGCTGCAGTGAACAACAGGGGTGTGGTGGGGAAAATGAAAGGAGAAAAAAAATTAAGTCTCCATTTCACTGTCAAGTTATACTTTATATATATTATGGTAGTTGCGTGCAGATTGGATACTAATAATAAGAAATAATACATACCCAAAAGGTATCTGGTTTAGTACATTAAAAGACAAAGCTTTGAATAAACTGATTATAAAATGGTATCTGAGGATACTGAATTACTGAAAAATAATGAGTGACATTTAAAATGTACATTAAATGTGACATACTGAGTTTTTATTTGCATATGAATGCTCTGTAGATGCTGCAGGAACAGATACGTGTCAGAGACAATCTCAGCTATGGAACAAATTCTACCCTGAAGAGTCTTGAAATGCGGCAGCTTTCTGGCCTAGGGGATCTTCGGGGAAGAGTTGCAAGGTAAAAGTCTCCATGGAACTGTGTTTTGGGGTCTAGCTAATCTTGTTTTAATCCTGAAGTAGTAATGATAATGGGTTGAATTCAACTTGGCAAAATTCCAAGGATAACATTACTCTGCATTTTCAAGAAAATGAGTAACAATACTTTGCATTCCAGTATTACATACTAAATGTAACAATATTACCCTTAATTCCTAAAATTCCTGAAATTAGTTCTAAATAAATTACTTCAAATTCCCTGGGAATTTGGGTTTGGTTCAGCTTTTAAGAAGTACTGTGGTTAGACTCATGTGTCTTTGAAACACGTTAATTAGCACAATTATAAAGGCAGCATGGAACAATCTGCACTTGTGAAGAACAAAATAGTTGCACATTTTTGCATATATTTTAGAAGTAAAAATCTGCACATTCAGTTAGTGGTTAGCCATATTAAATCCCACATGGGCTACATGACACATAAGGAACAGAAAGCTGTACAATAACAGAGGTTTTACAGGCTGCCCGAAGCCCCAGGTTACAGTTCTGTGGCCACGCAGACTTCAGTTGTGCCATCAATGACACATTTACAAACCCCAGCACAAAAACATTTCTTTAAGTGCCTGTAAAGTTGAACATGTACGACAGAAGATATGTACAGCTATGTACATATCCTGTATGTACAGGAAAAGGACATAACCTGGCCTACAGCTGCTTGGGTAATAACTTTGGTGGAGTTTTACTTATCCTGAATTTGACCTGTTATCTATATTATACAGGTAATTTTGCTTCCTTTTTTGCATAGCACAAGATTTAGTGATAACCCTCAACAACATACAGAAATAATCAGAGAGAGATTTTCATTGAACTAAGGTTTTCCTATAAATTACTCAACTGTCTGAAGCTTCCACTGTAACTTTCATAGCCCATTTTGTAGACAATACTTTAGAGAGATTTCAAAAAGAATTAAACATTTAGTAGGTTATGCACATTTAGTAAGTTATGCACTTTAGCAAACACAAATGAACTAGTTTTGTTTTTCAAGTCAGAAAATTGATAGAAAAACCTATAGAGAGATACATATATATGTATCTATCCTCCTGGAAATCCCCCCAAAATGGACATGTTTAGATCTTCCTGCTTCTTTCTACAAAAATACTTTGCGTTCATACTCCATCCCGAGAGGAGTTCTGTGTGGAGCAGCACTGTTACTGACACCTTGGAAGGGAAAATGTGATGCCTTTGCCTTCAGTCAGGGGATTCAAGAGAAGAAACTCTTGCTGGTGTGGGTGTCACTGGGGGGGCCCTGTCCTGGCCCAAATACCCGGTGTGGGAGGGTGGGGACAGGGCACAGGGTGTGCCAGGGCTTCTTCCCTTATTTCCTTAGGGCACCACCCTTGTGCTGTGCCTAGGTTGCAATTTATCTGCAAATTGAATGAGATTATTCCCATGTCAGACCGTGTGACGAATGCAGGTTATTTGTGTTCATTCCTGAAGATAATCAGTTCATTGCCTTTTAACTGATGCCTTTCATTCTGCATTCTATGTTTCTATTAAGCATGCTCTCTTAAAAAAATTTTAAAATCCTTGAATGAGTAAATAGTCTTCCCTTTATCAGAAAGCAATTTAAAGCAGTGGTCCATGAGAGAAATCTATTTGCCTTTATTTACAAAACATATTCTACTTTGAAGTTAGTGTTCCAGTGATTAAAGCACTAGCTGGAGATTATGGTCAAGACAGTGGTTTGTTGCAGAGACTTTCCTTGAGATAAACATCTTCTGATTACAATGTTCCTTATATAAAATACACTTTTCTCATCTAATGTACTTTTACCTCTAGTGCTGCTAGCTTCCAGATGAGTTCAGAGTGAAACATTCGAAACATGATCAAGTTACTGTGGGTTACCAACTTCCTGTGCATCAACTTCCAGCCACAGCAAAGGTGCATTGAGAGGCTCAGGCTGCAGTAGCTCTGAGTACTGTGTTTGCTCCAGGCTGGCAGCAGGGCAGTGGGAATCAGTTTAGACATTAAATCCCAAAGCATGAGCCCTTTGTCATGTAATAACTTTAGTGTCCATCTTAGGATTCTGGCCAAATTTCAGTTCCAGTAATTTCATGCATACTAAACATCCTACTCAAGTTCAGTATTGGAGAGAGGGGTGTTTATTTCCTAACACCAGCTGTTCTGTAACATGTCAATATATCATCAAACAATTGTCTCAATATTTCTTGAGAGCTGGTGCTGTTAACGATGGGAACAAGGGATCCCTACATGCACATGCAGTTCTGCAGCACAGCTCCAAACCACGCTCTCCACAGCCCTCCAGGAGTGACATTCCAACATACCTCACTCACATCACAGAATCAACTAATATTGCTATCAGAAGATGACAGAATACGAGTTACAGCTCGTGTTTCTGGATCCTTCCTCAATAAGCAGAGTTTACTGTTGAATTTGTAAAGTATTATTACAGCCCTGAATTATTGTGAAAAATCAGCATTATTATTAACTTCAAGAAAAAAATATTACCTCTATAAAATTCAGTGACACATGTAGCAGAAAATTAGATCGACGCCAGTAGATCAAATTCTCCAGCCTCCTGTCCCTTATGTTGTGAATTTTCTTTCCAATGATAACAGATCATAAAATTCATTAGTTCCTTATCATTTATTTAGAGGATTACTTGTGGATAATGAGAATTTGTCTGGAAAGTTTAAATCCAGTAGCCTGGTTGGAACTATAGCTACTGCTATCTTCATAAAAGCTTCCTGAGAGCTGAAACATCCGGAGAAATGGCAATTATGTGTGTTCAAACTGGCCTACTTTGCATATATAGATGAATTTTTTATCTGCATTATAGAACTGATTCATTTCAGACAACCTGGACTCATTACACGTAGGCAGATTTTCCTGCTGCACAGATTATGAGTCTGATGCATCTGGGCTGCAGCACACTGACAACTCCCCAAGAACAATAAACGCGCTGCTCTCTGGCCCTCGCTGTGTGGGAGGCGGCACCACGAGGGCAGCTCTGAACAGAACAATCCACCAGCTCTGCTGCTCTGGCCCAGTGCCCCCACTGCGATTTCAACTTGCTTTTCACTGCCTGTTCTCCAGCTACTTGTTTTTCTCTGAAACACTGGCACTTTAATTGAAACATCTCCTGTTATAATAAATCAAGAACATTAAAAGCTCTCTCCATACCATTACAGCATATGCATACAGCAGCCAGCTGCAGAGCACTGGCACAGTTCTCACTTTATCTATGACCCAGTCATACTGGATGGAGCAAGTATTTGTCTTGTGATTTCTTTGATTCTGAACACTAATATTTTCTTCCAAGTCAAAACCAATCGTGTTTACGAGTGTGTACAACAGATATAGAAGATAAACCAAACCAGGCAGATATTAAGTTCACATAGTCAGAATCTTTCAGTTACCATGGAACTACATGAACCCTTTGACCACATAACTGAATTCCATGAAGAAGAGAGATGCTCTGTGATTAAACCCAAAACACTAATTTACTTTAAAAACAATTACAGGCGCTTGCTGATTACGTTTACTTCAGTAGTTTCAAAGCTGTTGCTTTTAAAATATTTTCTACCATGCCTCAGAGAAACAAAACTAACCATTTTTTGGAGCCCACAACTTTTTGGTGACTAGATGCAAGATGATTCTGTTTTTCTGATTCTCTCTGATTGTAACAACATGGAGAGATTTGGCTTCTCTGGTCTTTCTAAAGAAACTGCCTGATTGTGAGGGGTACAAGCTTTTCATTGCCATGTAAACCCTAGCCAGGCTTCCTGCAGATATTACTAACAGGTCTCACAATGCTGAACTGCTACACTAGAAATTAATTTCCTCAAGTTTTATAATGCCTATGCTATTTTACATTACTGATTATTTTCATATTGAAACCATAATAATAAGCAGATGGTCCATTTGTCATTTTAGCTGTGACTTTCCCTTCATGTTTAACGATAATGGCACTTCCTGTAACTGAGGTGATGAAAATGCATGTTGAAATGAAAGCCTTCAAACTGAAATGTGACTAAAAAGATGACAAAGTGTGTCATTGGTTTAGGTAATGACTTAACATGCTTCAGCTTGTTCCATTTTACTGCCTTTTTCTCCCTCAAATTGTAACTGCTGTCTGTTCCTCATCAGTTTCCTATATCAAATTTGGGAACGCTAATGATTACATATTTCCCTTAGCAAAAAAAATTATATATGAGTCATACTTCACAGAGGTCTTACTCCTGAAATCGCAGTACTCATATTTTTACAGCTCAGTTAATGCCCTTACTTGCATTACTGTAGATTAAATCCACCTGATCAAATTATTTTTAAAATCTGGTAGAAAACACACCATGTTCTATAGCATATTTATCCTGAAAATATTACAGCATCAAGAAGTGTTCCAATGTGAAGAAAGGAAACAATAATTATTATGTTCCAGGACTTGATTTTATAGCCTTTTCTGAGACAAAATTGCCATTGCTTTCAATGACAATTTATTTATTCACCTAAATAAAGACTAAGAACCATAAAATTTGCCCCACATTGTTAACTACACATATTAGCTGTATACTACTATTTCACAAATAAAAAAGCAAAGCTACAATAATGAAAAAACGGTCCTCAGTTATTTAGGCTACTAATCATGCAGAGGAAGTTAAACACACCTTATCATATATTTTCTGGAGCATGACAAAAAGATACGGAAATGAAATTCTGCACCTTTGCATTTCTGATGTGATTTCCCTGATAACACAGCCTACCCATATCCTGTCAGTGCCAAGAGCAATGGAATTTGTCTGTCAGACTGCTCGACCTTGAGGCCTGTCTGAGAGCACTTTGCTGAACACTATGAGATGTATTACCATTCTTACAGTCTCAAAGACATTGCTTCCCTAGCCAGCCAGGAATTCCACAGAAATGGCCAGTATGAAATGGATCATTTAAAAGGCCTGGGCCTTATATTCTATTTGGCTGGTGCTTTGTTTTTTATCTATTCAAACAGGTGTGATGCTGGGTTAGCCAGGCTGTCTGCAGAGCATAAAATTACGTATGAAAGACTTCAGAGTCTAAGTAAAGACCAACACACTTCCAAGCTGATCTTAGAATCTAAAATCAAAGAGGCAGAAATACAGGTATGGTATTTAGACCAAGGCAATCCCTGTACAGGTAAGAGCTCTAGTCTAATTCACACAAACTCTGTTACTGTCAATTATTATCCTGGGAGGTCACAGATTTACAAATGGAGAGGTCACAGTCCTTATTACATTGACCACTGGTACCTAGATGCATTACTGTACTGCTCTAACTGAAAAAGGTCCTTAATTTCTGCCTGCAGCATGCTGTGTAGAAGGAATTAGTATGTAAAGCACATGCTCAACAAAACTAAAACAGTGCAAGCCTCTGTGTCTTTCACTGTATGTTTTGGCCTTCCCAGGATGATCCTATATGTATTTGAACACAATTTTTGAAGGTCTGCAAAACAAAACTGGCTTTGGGTTCTGTGAATCCATTAATCTGTCTGTCAGGTTTCTCTTCCATTGGGTTTGAGAATGGAAGTGAGCACTAGATACAAGCAGAGACTTGGAGATATGAAGAATCCTTTTCCTTAATGTCACATCTCAAGGCCTTCCCATTTTCTTGGTCAACAAAAGTATTTTACATCTTCATTTTGCGGTAGGTAAATGGCTAAAATCCACTTTGCCTTTCTCAGAAGCCTCAGTGTAGTATATTAGCATGCCAGGAGCATGTTGTCATGCAACTTGTAGTGAACCTGAACAGTATGCTTTGAGAAAGTGGGATGGTTATTTTGGTGACAAATATTCTCTTGTAGTAATGACCTGGCCCTTGAACACAAAGTGAGGGAGGATATCCCTCAGTATTGGTGGAGTGCTTCAGCACTTGTTTATTCTGATTATGTGGCAACTTGGAGATGTATGAATCATTCAAATTCAGCTGTCTCAAGGGGGGACCAGGCAGAGATTTTTGAGGTGAAACTATTCACATTATTTAAGGCAAAAAAAAATTACAGTTTTCAAAATGCTGATACTTTCATATTGAGAGATAGTATATTTTCATCATAAAATTAAAAATATGCAAATTCAATCTCTGTAAAACCTCCTCTACTGTTATGAAAATGTCCCAAATGAAACTGTGATGCAATGCTGTTGAAAAATAGTAAATTCTGAATTTTGTTTCAGATTTCTCATCTGCTGAGCAGAGTAGAGCAATCGATAATGCAACAAGAAGCAAAGCTGAAAATTGCCTACAAAGAGAGCAACCAACAGCTGCAAGTCCTGGACACAAAGTAAGTGCCTGGGAAGCTTTGCTGCTGCTGTGTACCTTGGGAGCAGGGCCTCAGTTTTCACAGTGTGGCCTCAGTTCTCCCAGTCTGAGTGGTGCAATCTTCAGGCCTATAAAATCAGGAACCTCTATGAATACATGTGTTTGCTCCACAGATGTTACAAAAGCTGACTGTCAAGAGGGACTTGCTTTCACCAAGAATTCTGCCCCTAATGTGGTTAGGCAGTTCTGAGAAGTTGATTAAGTTCCTAGTTAGGTATTCAGGCAGAACTTAAAGGACACAACTAAGGTTTTTTGTCAGAGTGGCCTGGTGCCTTTCTGCAAGAACTGTCTGAAGCAATGAATGCTGGAGGTGGCTGTCCAGAGCAGGGGAAAAATTCAACTGAAGCAAGGAGGAAGCAGAGCTCAGCACTCACAGAGTGCTATTTCTTTGAACTGGCTTCAAACATGAATATAACTGAAATACCTAAATTATTAATGACAAGATACTCTGTACTACCAGACATTACATGAGGCCATTCTATTCAATTCAGATGTTAACTCCTCTCCAGGCATTTCACTCATTAGCAGTCCTGGTATAAACCATCCACATCTTCATTTCTTACTGCTTATTGCCATCCTCATGCAATTCAGGTTTCACATATTCACTGGAGAAAAGAAACAGTTTCACTGGCACAATTGCTTGGTGTAAAGTTAAGGTGGGTATAGGCAATGTAAGTGGAGCTACAGGAACCAGCATTGTCACCAGAATAAGTAGCTACCCAATCTTTGCTCAGATTTAATACATATGGACATGAAGTTTATAATCTGAATGGATGACCATATTCTGTTTTCAATGTCACAATGAATTTTCATCTACTATGATTCAAATTTTGTAATGCATTTCATATAAATTTGCTGTGAACTTTCACCTTTGTTATCTAAACCAAAGTTACCATATCCAGTTTAATAGCCTTAAAATTCAAAGACTCACCTTAATATGGTGTGAAGAATGTATTCAATTGCCATTTTATGTTTTTATGAACACATTCATTAAAAAGTCACTGTTGAATGACTAGTTCTTTTTTGTATCTGCATCTGTTGTGCTCCTAGATTAAAAGATGCTGTTGAGGAGCTCAGTAATCAGATTTTGTCTGCACGGAGCTGGCTGGAACAGGAACATGGAAGGACTGAAAAAGAGCTCGTGCAAAAAATTGACCAACTCTCACTAACTTTTAAGGAAAGCACTGTAAGTTTCATTAAAATGTCCTGTAATGCTTCTCAGGAAGCATCCAAAAGCATTATCAATAACTAAGATGATGTAATTGAGATATTATTTGAGTGAGATTTTCAGGTAGCCTCAGAATTTGCCTGTCTTCATCAATATCAAGTGTAACACCTACAACCTTAGAATCTTTAAATGGATCTGGTCACTGCTAAATGGATCAGTATTTTAACATACACTAATCAAGTAATTTGAAATTATTTTATGAAAAATTGTATTCCTTACATTTTGAATTCCAGATAAAAGATGATTCATCAGTATCTATTTCATATTTTAAAAAGACCACTGTTATTCCACATGCAGAGTAAATTATTAAAATTCTTTCTCCCGGCTCCAGGAAATGAGTGAGAGAGGTATTGAGATGAAATTCAACCAAATGGCAGAGAAAATTGAGAGAATAGAAGAAATGCAGAAGATTACCATGGAAGCACATGAAGCAAAACAGACTGAAGAAAAGATAAATATTCGCATTGCCAAACTTCAAAATGAGATAAATGAAGATATAAAAGAAATGAAAGCTGAAGTTAATGCTGGTAGGGCCATAGTTTTCCAGTTCTTTATTCTGAATTGTGGTGACAGCGATTGACTCATACTAATATGCAAAATGTCTTTGCTTGTATCAAAGTAGTGTAAATACTTTTGGGGCAGATGTAATGGCTACACCTGTGGCATTAGGAAGGATTTTCATTAAGTGTGAAAAGCAGAATAATAAGGGGTGACAACCAGCTTAGAAATGCACTCCCCAGAGCAGGCATAGCCATAGCTGGGCTGCCATCGGGGTATTTCTGCCATCAGCACACAGTAACATCCCATTTTCCCTCAGAACTTTTGCAGTGTTCCTAGTGCAAAGCAGAGCATTCTAGAAGTGCATTCTGGTAGCAGTGATGTGATACTCATGATGAACTAATGGAATTCTCACCTACAATTAGGGTTTGCAGCTATCTATGAGAGCATTGGGTCTCTACGGCAAGTTCTAGAAGCAAAAATGAAGCTGGACAGAGATGAACTGCAGAAGCAGATCCACCAAATGAAGCAGGAGGTTCCAAGATGGGGAGAAGCTGGACCATGACTGCAAGATTTTGTCTGAGAGATTAGTGTTTACCTGGCTAACTAGGCAGACTCTAGTGTTGTTCCAGTCTGTAATGCCAATTACCTGCATGTACCAAATGACATGCTGCTGCTGCTGCTGCTGCTGCTGCTGCTGCTGCTGCTGCTGCACAGGTGTTTGCTCCCAGCAGTAAATGCAAGCTGTTCATAGATAACTGGCAATGAGACTTCAGAGCTGAGGTGCTGTTTTGCCACTGCACTGCTCCAGTTGCTGTGAGGAAATTTAGCACTGTGTAAAACTGGAGCAATACATTGGTGAAGCTGGCACCTAGTTTGCTAAAGGCATTCCAGTTTTGCAGGCTTGATCAGGCAGCTATATGCTTTTATATGCACCTGTACCCCTCCACCTTTAAAAAAAAAGGCAAGTTGCTATCATTTGCTTCATATGAATTTGGCAAGGTTCTCCACCTTGATACAAATTACATGAAATCTATGGACATTTTTAAAGTAACTTTCTCTACTGTTGATTTCCTGGCAAGACAGAATTGGCACTAAACAGACCAATCTTCAAAATCTAGACACTGTCGGAAAATCTTGGTTTAGGTTTGCAAATATCCTGTGTGTGAAAACTAGGTAGTGTTACATAATGTAGTTGTAGACTAAGATGATTCATAAACAACCTAAGAAACTTAATTTACACGGTCTTAAGTATTGCAACCTTTTAAAATAATAACCAAGGGGAGTTGACACAAGGTAGAAGATGTAGAGAGAGTATTTTTTACTGGGCATGTGTTCCTGTGACTTGCTTCATTATATTGATAAAAACTTAGAAAGGTTTGAAAACTAAAGAGAAGGTAATAATCTAATCTAGTCTGGAGACTGTAATGTAAAATAAAATGCAGTTTATGATCTCCTTAGTAATTTTCATTGAAGTAAAAAAATTGATTCATCATATTTAAGTAGACTTTAATAATTTCGCAGACTCAAATTGCTAATTGCCTTCACATTATTTCCAGATAATAATTTCCATTCCCAGAAGACACTACACAATGAAAATCAGCACCTATGTGGCATGTTATCTAGATAGGAAAAAATATATGTTGTTTTTACTTCATCCATAGCATGACATATTGCTCCTCATGTTTGTAAGCCATGCAGGATTAAACCCTTACGAAAAATAAAAGACTTTACCCAGCATCCTATTAATTTATACTACTAACAGCAATTAATATACAAAAATAATATTAATTCATAGGATTTAAAGTACTGCTAACCTAATTAAATTAATAGGATCCTTAATGGACCTTTCATTCAGCTAGTAGTAGAAAAATATATTTTTAGTTGGAAAATCAGTGGCTAATATCACTTCCATAAAAGACATTTTGGTCCACAGAATCATCATATATAAAAGAATTTTAAAAACTTCTTCATGAACTACAGTCATTAACTTCAGTAAGTCAGTGTAGAGAGTAAAAATCAAGTAAATGCATACATCTTAACAGGATTAACACCTAAATTTATATTAACTTCCTCTATAGTTGAAAGTCATTGAAGTCTCAGACACATTTAAGCATTTGCAGCTCTAGCTTCCAAAGCTCTCTGATACAAACCAGGAATACCAGAGGAGTTTTGTCATCATCCATGTCCTGTGAAATATATTTACAATGGCAGCTAAGGGGAAAGCCCAGTTCCCTAAAGAGAGACAATTAAATGCTTGTAGATATTTCTCAGGAAATGTCTTCAAAATTCAATCTTACTTCATGTATGTATTCTTACCTATTCTTAACTATTTAGCCATGTGCAGTAGAAAAGCTATCACTGGTGTTTTATTTAAAAAACAAACAAAAAACCCACCCCCAAAACAAAAACAAAGAAAGAAACTAAAAGAGACAGACCAAAAACAGAATAATTTTTAAAATTCTGTAATTGGAAGTCTGTACCTAAGAAAATCTGGTATGATATGAAGAGCATACAAGCTATCAGAAAGAATTTATATAGAACTTTAATAAATTGTTT